TGTCTATTGATTAGGGTTGGCGATTTCGCGTTTCGTTTCTTGTTCATTCTCATGTTCCATGGGTTATAATTATTTGTGTTTCTAGTAAAGTGATAAGCATAAAAGCTTAAAGTGCAAATTCACAAATGTACTCTCCTTTTGTGTTTGGCATGATGTATATATTGTAGCATAGGACAATGAAATTGGATTGAAAAGGCCAAAGTGATTCAAAGAGACAAAAAGGTGAAAGAGCAGCAGAGTCTATCCGCTGCCATTACCACCAACTCTGCATACATACTTTGGAGGAAGATGGTCACAAACTAACAATATGTTCCCTTGAACAAGAGAGTGTAGGGGTCCCTAGGGCCATTGATCATGACTAATGACTTCTCCACATGCTGCTGCACATGCTCCCCTCTCCTAACCATTCTTTCTTTACTTCTATATTTCTACTCTAGAAAATCTCACTTTTGATTCCTTAATTATTACATGGTGGCCTGTTTAGTAACATTGTTAGCTTATCAGTCAATTTTGGCTTATTTGATCACACTATTAGTTGTTTGATTTGGTTAAACAATCAATATGAGTGTTTGATTAATTAGTTTTTTGTAACAACTTATTGTTCCGAAATGCTAAAATCAAAAAGTTGCTAAAAGTAGCTTTTTCGATAAGCTTTTTGAGAAAATTATTTTGCATGTAATCAGCTATCAATTAACAGTTAATTTATTGAACATTTTTCTACAATCAGCTAATGCTATCAACTAGTTAAACTCACTAACTCAATCAACTAACAACTATTTAGCAAACACTCCTGCTATATTGTCTACAAAGTTTTCTTTTTCCCTGTTTTTCAATTGTTCAAATTAGTTGTTTTTAATTCAACCTAAGAGCATTCACACTGGTAACTTTTTTGTGAGTTTTTGGGTGAGGTGGAGGGAAGAGAGTATAGGAGAGAATGTTGGGTATGTTGTAGTGAAAAAAAATTAACTATTGTGGTTATTCTAATCAAAGTTCAAGAACGGAAAAAGTCACTTTGCACAAAAAGTGGTGAAGGTACAATTAATTAAAGGACAAAAAATGTTATTACAAATAACATGCGTGAAATTACTATTACCCTTGTATAATTTAGTCCATTTTATATAGTGAAAATTTAGTTCCTTAATCTAAACCTTCAAATAACATGTCATTAGCATTCTATTCACTTTACCATTGAGTGAGAGATCAGATTGATAATGTTGGTAACAATCGAGGGATTAAATTTTAAAAATTAAAATGCAATTTTAGCATTAATTTCATCCACTCACTCTCTTCCCTCCCTTTCCCTTTCAATGAAATCTTTCCAGCCCACACTGAAAATAACCCAACACTGAGGAAAACTTTCATCCACTTGAAATATCCCATATCTTCACAGACGTATGATTATCTGGATTTGCTTCATTACACGTGTACTCTTCTAATTGGAAACAAATTCGAAATATTCTTATTTAGCACCATCATATCATCAATCCCCACAAATTTACCATGATTACTTTAGTTTTAAACTTGGGTTTTATGCATGCTCATTACCTTTTTATATTATTGGTTAAGGTCATACTTATTGAGGTTAAAGACAAGGTTAAAATACAAGAATTCTACTACCATGTTTGCATATTAGTAGAGATGAAACTTGTGTCTCTTGTCGTTTGTGTGTGTGTTTTTTTACTTATTTAAAATTTACCGAATTTAGTCTTTTATGGTTAACTGTACTCCATGAGAATGAGTGCTCAAATGTGAATGTACACTACCTAACCCAGTAACAGTACAAAGTGCATCTATTGATATGTAGAAATGCATTCAAACTACAACTCTAAAAATGAACCACATAAAGCTACAAAATACACTCGATTATATGTAAAAGTTCACCACGCGGTTGTGCTTTTACATATCATTGAATGCCCTTTTAGTATTGCTCAGTATACTCAAAGTTCGTAATAAGTACCAAATTACCACTGCATTCCTCCTATTTCAGAGCCATTTATTTTCCTAGATCGACAATTAAGATGAGTTCTCGGTTTTCTCGTAGGCATCGATCGATTCTCACACCAATGTGCGTCTGTATATAAGGGAGGGAAAAAAAACAACTAACAAAACAAAATGTGATTTTCTCATGGACATTATCACCTGCTAGGTTTAGCTTAATATCATTCGGTAAGTCTTTCACAAGACCTCAATTCAGGAATTAAAATGTCTTGTCATATGCGTTGTGATAGTAATCAAATATCATTAATTTTGAACTCAAAAACTATAGAAAGTAACAGTGGAAGGATGAAAAGTAATATAGAATTAATAATAAGGGATAATAATAATAGTGGTTGATATTGGTGAATCAACATCAAATTCCAAGCTATATATGAAGGACCATTGTGTTATAAGACATTGGAGGGGCCATGAGTAAACTGGAGAATGAAACAAGAAAACAAAGCCCCACTGCTCTGCTGGACCAGTCATAATAACTTCACAGAATCACAGGCCAATTATTAAAGCATTTTTTGTTAGGTACTATGCCATATTTTTATGCCCATAAATGGTACTACATTCACCTCAACACGTCATTACTAACTAATCTTTTTTCATGAAAACCCACTCATCACACTAGACCTCACACTGCTCATCCTACTTGCAAAAATGCTCCAATGCCCACTTCAACATATTAGGGTGTGTTTAAGTTTACACATTAAAAATGAGAATCAAAATCATATTTAGTATTTGATTGATAACTTTTTTATTTAAAGAGTAAATACTCAAAATGGTCCCTCGACTATAGCTAAATTCACAAATTGGTCATCAACTTTCAATTTTACCCAATTAAGTCCTTAACTTTGTAATTTTAACACAATTTGGTCCTCTGTCTATTTAACCGTTTGTTGACTGTGATTTTTGAGGATATATATGTAATTTCATGGTCCATCGTCGGTTTTTTAAGGTTCCGGTTGCATTTCCAGACCGCACTGTTACATTTGAATCCACTGTCGAAAGCAATCTACCAAACCCGGTCACCTTCTTCATCCTCCCTTTGGATTCAATGTAGTTGAATTCGTACCAGAGCGAAGAAGACGACATGTTTCCGAACCGGTGCAACGTCATCCTGGAGGCCTCCACGTGCTCCGACGAGAGCTGAAGGTTCTTCTGGAGATCGTCGGTCACGGTCAACAAACGGTCAATTAGATGGAGGACCAAATCGTGTCAAAATTGCAAAGTTAAGGACTTAATTGGGTGAAATTGAAAGTTGAGGACCAATTTTTGAATTTAGCTATAGTCGATGGACCATTTTGGGTATTTACTCTTATTTAAAATATAATTATGGAGTTTGATTACCCCATCAACTAAAAACCTCAATCTCTAATTAAAAATGGGTATCATTCCATCTTATTGGTAATATGATTGATCAATTGCCTTGATTTTTTGTATTTTTGTATTTTTAAAGCCTTTATTAATTAGTTTATTTCCATTATAAGGTCATAAATAACCAAACATATTGGTAATCATTCCAATTCTATCCTACTACCAACATGCAAAATACTTTCACCAAAACTCATTATCATTACCAAGTATTTGATTCTCATTTATTCTAATTCTCATACGTGAACCAAACACATCCTTATACTTTTTGTTTTCATGGTTTGCGTCCCAGACTCAAAGATTCTCATTTACCCTAGAATTAGAATTTTGGTAGAGAAATAAATCACAGGAATCACTCAAGTTATCATAACAAGACAAATTCATACCATCTTTAATAGGATTTGAACCCACACATTGCAACTCATAGTAGGCTATATATTAATCCTTTCCTTCGATTTGGTAATCAACTTAACTATACGGAGCGTTATGCTATGCATCCATGTGCACCATGCATGGCGCACACAAATGCAAAAACGACGTCGTTTTGATGTCGACTTAAAAATAAATTCATAACTTCAATTATACATCCAGAATTGCATAACTATACATGCATAACTTCATAACTATACATCCAGAATTGCATAACTATACATCCATAACGTACTTCATAACTATAAATCCAGAATTGCATGCATAACTACACATCCATAACTTCATAACTATAAATCCAGAATTGCATAACTACACATCCATAACTTCATAACTATAAATCCAGAATTGCATAACTACACATCCATAACTTCATAACTATACATCCAGAATTGCATAACTATACATCCATAACTTCATAACTATAAATCCAGAATTGCATAACTACATATCCATAATTTCATAACTAAAAACCCAGAATGAATGAACAACATAATGTTGTTGGGAATCGAAACTGAATTTTTTTAAGTGGGACGCACGTTTTTAGTCAAAACGACGCCGTTTTTGCATCCGTGTGCACCATGCATGGTGCACAGGGATGCACAACATAATTTGCCTAACTATACTCTAACAACCTTAATCGAAAAACTATAACGATATGTCATGTGAAATGTGTTGCAGCCTACTCAAGGATGTGTACGGGTAAATCTCACCGTGTGACTAAAGATAAATATTTTAGATTGTTCATAACTGACCGATTTAAACTAAGAAGGTCAATAAACTGCTCATTTCTTGAAAATTAAACTTATAATCCTGTGTTTATTACCAAATTAACTGCATGACCAATTTGGATGTGGTTATCCCTACTCATAAATTATTTGGTTGTACCAAGAATTGATTATGTAAACTCGGGTCAAATGGTAAATAATAACAACAACAACAACAACAACAATAATAATAATAATAATAATAATAATAATAAAAAAAAAAAAAATAAAATCCCTCTATAGTGGATGAGGTGACACCAACCTAAACAGTGGCCCAGCCTATTGCTAGGTGGCCGGCCTAATATGAGGTTGGACATCGTCGTGGTTATAATAATGTTACATGAATTAATAATAATAATAATAATAATAATAATAATAATAATAATATTATTATTATTATTATTATTATTATTATTGTTATTATTATTATTATTATTTTGTGGGAGGTGGTGGAGTTGTGAGAGAGGAGGGGAAGGGTGGAGCCTGGAGGAATTTAAATTTGAATTTTTTGAATTCTGAGTGTAATTTTGGCAGTTTTTGGGCACAGCCCACAGGTGCAGTTGAGAGAGAGCATCTTTTTGTGGATACTGTAACCGGACACTCTTCTTTTTAACCATTCAAAATGACAAGTCTATGAGAGACTACTTACGTTTGAAACAAAAGTTTTGATTTAAACTAAGATCAGATCGAATCATCCATTTTCCCATTTCTATTTTTGTAGCTTAGCATGCATGAGTACTAGAATCATGAAACAACCTTCTTTGGGTTCCAGACGCCACCAACAAGATGAAGAACAACCTGAGTTCAACTTCTCAGATTGGGGTCTCAAGGCCAAAATCACCCGCGAAAACACCAATTCCAGAAGGTTTTCTGCTTCTTACATCACAAGTTTCAGGGAAGAATATGCCAATAAGTCTTTCAGATCAAACCTCACCATTTCCAGCACTGCTTCGTCTCCGGGATACAACTTGAAAGGTACATATATATATATGTACGTCATTCTTTAATTATATATATTGTTTTTAATTTGCCAGGGATTCACTGTTTTTTGTGGTGTTTAATTTTTCGCAGAGGAAATTGACCCTTCAACGTATTCTTTCACCACTGCCCTTAAAGGTAGGTAATTCAAGAATGGGGTTTGTTTTTCTAGTCACTAAAAAAATGCAGTTTTTGAGAGATTTTGTGATTTTTTTTTTTGAATGCAGCTTTGCAGGCTAAGACGGTGTATAGCTGGGAATATATGTCGCCGGAGGGATTGGCTTTGAACTCGAAGTGGGATGAAGCTGAGAAATATATATGCAACCCCTTATCCGGTGAAGTGCCAATGGAATGCCTGTCTGCAAAAACGCTCAGCGGCAGATCATTCCGGCAGCTTACCAGCCGGATTACAATGTCTGCGCCGCTCATTTTTCCGGCCAGACCGGCGGCTCCGGCCAAGCCACCCATGCCGCCTCCTCTTGAAATCAATCAACCCCACTCTCCCATTCCCACCCAAGGTATATATATATGTTCTTAGCTTGTTTCATGACTGCAAGTTTGAATTTGATTTTTAATTTCTAACAGATCAGATCTTTTTTCCGCCATGTTTTAATTTGTTTGGATTTGTGGTTGTAGAGAAGAAGATTGGCGTGACTAGAGATGTGGGAACTCAAAGCACTCCACCACCACCTGACCTTGGTTCAAGCAGCAGTCCAAGCCCTGCACCCACTCCCTCCATTGAAGAAAGGTCCATCAACCGCCATGCCAGTGAATCACCTTCCTCCTGTGCAAAACCAAAATCTGAGGAAGAACAAGAAGAAGAAGAAGAAGAGGTAAGCTTCTTTCAACTTTTTTTTTTTTTTTTTTATTGCTTTTAAATCACTATGAAACTAATTCAGATTCGATCTTAATCCATCAGTTTATTGCATTCAGCATATGATATCTCAGTCTGTAAGGTCAAGGTTGATTATGGAATTTTTGACCACCTGAAAGTAATCTTTTAAATCAAGTCGAAAGTCTTGTTCCGACCACTTTTGGTATTCGGAAAAACGTTTGTTGCTATTTCCAACCACTTTTTGCTTTCAACTTGATTTAAGATCACTTTCAGGTGGTCGAAAATTTCATAATTTTCAGCAGTCTGATATCTCCACCACTATGAAACCAATTCAGATTCGATCTCCATCCATCAGTTCATTGCATTCAACATATAAATAATATCTCTACAACTATGAGACTAGTTTAGATTTGATCTTAGTCCGTAAGGTCTAGATTCAATTTGCATGCATGCAAATCATGCGAAAATTACATGGTTTAATCCATAAATTTAAAGAGAATCAAATTTATGAGTTTAAAGCATTGAGGAAGATATAGATGAATGGGATGTTCCATGGGAAACTGAACTTTCAAGACAGGTTGATTGAGTGGAGGATTGCAAGGTGGATGGGCTTCATAGCCTAGCTAGCAGGTGGGGACTCATGATTGGTCCCTGCACATGCATATGACTTGCTCTAGTGGGCATGCATGTTTGTCATTCCTGATTTTTCTGTGAAAGTGGTTTATTATTTACTCAAAAGTTTATATAAATATATATTTGTTTGCAATAATTGAACCCATTTTCAAGAAAGGGGGGTTGATTTTTCCCTTTTAGGTGAGTCCAAGACAAAAAAACGATGTAACATGTTTCCTAAGGAGATGTCTTTTTCTTGTGCATGCACTTCATTTGATATCAAATTTGTATACAGAGACAAAATCCCAAACATAATCTCATCTACTTAGCTAATTAATTATTATTGTTCTTTATGTTACATATTTCCATATGAGACAATTATATTAGTGCATAATAATGAGTGAAACATGATATGTGTTTATCGTTTAATATGTATAGACGACAGAAGAACTGAAAAGCGGGACGAGAGAGGAAGAAGAGGTCACGGGTAGAGATGAGTTGGAAGAGAAAGCGAAAGCCGAGAAGGAGAAGGAGAAGGTTAGGAGCAGCAGGCAAGGAGGGTGTTTGTCATGGAGGAGCTTTCTATGGATGAGAAAAAGGCAAAGGCGTAGAGAGAAACATAGGCCAAGGAAGAAGAACAATATCTTTCTTTGCCCTATTCATGAATGCTAGAAAAAGTTTTCAACCAAAAAAAAAAAAGTATTTTGCTGGGAAAAATGTACACATAAAAAAGATTCTCATCATTTTCCACCTATTATTGTTGTCTCTCTTGTTTCTCGAGCATAATCAATGATGCAAAGGTCGATCGAGTTAGGTAATTAAGTCTTAGCAAGGTTAGGGTGGATTTGTTAATTTCTTGCTGATAACACGATTTGGAGTTGGATCCCTTGCGAGTACAAGTGTAGCAAGTTCTAGGTCACGTCCCTGATGACTCGCTAAAACATATTCGGGTATCATCTCATACTATACAAGACCCTAGGAAGGGGGCCCAACCCTAACTAACATCTCGTTCACTAAAACATCTCTAACAATTTACCTCGTTCGCAAGATCTTAAGAACGAAGTAGTAGGGGACCTGGGATTAAACCTTTCTCTGTCCGCGTGTCTCTGTCCATCTATATATATATATATATATATATATCTTTCTCCCTGTGTGTATGTAAGCCATGGGTATCTATCTATCTAGTACGTAGTGGATATAGGAGGGGCTGGAGGAAAGTGATAGAGGGAGAATTGATGAGTGCAATAATGGAATGATACATTTGAAGAAAGGGTCCCTCTACGGTTGTAGTTGTTGGTTTAATGACGCACCATGCACTCATACATACATGTATATATCATGTTGCCTCCCCCCACCCCTCTCTTATTTTTGTAGTGTTTAAGGAAAAAATAAATTCTATATTCTTGCTCTCCTTTAATTTTCTGTCTATGTTAGTTATCATTGCTATAAGTGCAAAAAAACTCTATAATGTTACGCTGTTGTGTTTGATGGGAGCTATAGCTTGAACACCTTGTCAATATAATCATGAACATTAGACAATGATTCCTAATCTTAAATCAGATTAGGTGATTGGATATAATTGTTGTGATAGATTGAATTCATGAAGGTTGTCCCTTATTAACGAAAGGTAATGATATTTAATCTAAGATAAGGTGATCGAATTGGGTAAATGGTGGAGTAGATTGAATGCATTATTAATATAATCTTATCACTTATTGATGAAAGACAATAATTTCTAAGCTAAGATAAGGTGATTGGGTAAATGGTACGTGTGGTAAAATGAATGCATGATGTGAACAATATAGAGATAATAAATAAAAATGTAATGGTAAGATTTTAAAAAAATTCACCAAACTAGAAGAGCCAATGGTCAATTCAAGACTGGACCATCCTACGTTGGCCTATGGTAATGAGCCTGGAATTTCTTATTTCAATCATTATTGTATGGACCATATCAAATAATGTACATTTCAGTACATAAATGATATATTTTTAATATATTAAAAATGTGTATTGTATTAAAAATATATATATTATTTGAGTACTAAAAATACATTATTTTATATAATGTATATTCAGTACACAAATAATATACTTTTAATGTATTAACATGTACTTTTTATTATGATCAACGTAACATGGACCATATATAATTCACATAATAATTTGCCTAAGGTTGGTCCCCGGTCCACCTCTATGGAAACCCGAAGCCTAGGATGAGGACTCTATTGTAATATACGGAGTACTAATTAATATTATTAGTATTATATGTAGAACTCATTCCATTTTGTTTAAACCTCATTAACCCAAAGTACTTTGAATCTTTTTTTTTTTTTTTTAACCAAAAGCAAGCTTCATTAATGAAAAATAATATCACGAATTCAAGGGGTCGTGAATTACACAATTCTTTTTTACCAGATTGAGAGCATGTAGTCTTAACTATGGTATGGGCTAACAGGTTCATTATATTGCCTTAAATTAGTAGTTTAAACAATTCCTTTTACATTGAAATTTAGGAATGAGCTTAATTAATGATAGTTTGAATAGGAAAGCATCTCCCTTTATAGCACGAGTAATACTACATGTAATTCATTTTTTACTCTCAGCTGAGGTGTCCTACTTTGATTGATCTAGAAAAAAATACGTACCATATTTTTATTCTTAAAATTTTCTTTACTAAATAAAATATGTACGCATGGCGAGAATAATACTCCATAAGAATGTATAATTATCATTTTCCTTATAGCATTGTGCTTGTAAGTGAATTATTATACATTCATCGGTGCAGTAGACTACAAATTTTCAAGATGTTAATTAGGGTGCTTTTTGAATTTGGATTAAAGCCTTCTACTTACCTTACTGCCATGAAATCATACCATTGCAGAAATCTAGATATTCAAGATTTCCAAGGTTAAAAATTTGATCTTTTATGGTAGTTATCTATCGATTTTCTTAGTTTAAATTAGTTAGTTATGACAATCTAAATTGATTGTGAAGGGCATGGGCAGCTCAACTGATCATAAGGTGAAGTTTGGGAAAAATGACCAAGGATTGAATCTTACCAACCACAGTGTGGGAGCAACCTCTCAAAGTGAGGACCTCTCTAGTTCAGTTGAGTTACCATAATTTACATCTTACCTAAACTGATTTACTTTCTTAGTAATTTTTTATCGGTTAGAATCACAACATAGTACTTAAAATTTGCTAGCGAATTTTTCGATAATTTTTTTTTTTAAAATGTAAGATTTCTACTGTCTTTCATGTGAATTGAATTTTCTATGTATACACTTGAACAGGAATCATTCTTAAAGGGTTTTGTGTCAGGACTCAGGACGAAGACCAATTACTTTATGGTGAAAGATCTGGTGTTGGACTAGATGGAACATATGAGAGCTGAGGAAAAGGTAACGAGACACGACAGCACCCAAAAAAAAAAAAAAATCAAAACATGTTTTTATACATTTTTATAAATTTTCGGAAAAGAAATGTGTTGGAAATGTGGAAACAGTTTTTGCTTTTCTGCATGATATTGAGGCAAATACATTGTAGACTTGGTTTCATATTACAAGATGAATTCTAATATAAATTTATTATTAACATATATAGTGTAGATTCATTATATTTTGATACTAATTTATTTTTAATATATGCATGTTCAAAAATAATTAATCTTGTGTTACATTAAAAATAGATATGTAGGATACTAAAAATGAATCTATATCAATGTCTATTGAGTTAATACCCAAAATCGTCCTCGACTATAGTGGTTTTTCTCAATTCCGTCCTAAACGACTTTGGTGACCTAATATCGTCCCAGACTTTTGTGTTTCGCTCAATTTAGTCCCAGACTTTTGTGTTTTTGCTCAATTTAGTCCCTCATTTGTTATTCTGTCCATTTGGTGTTAAATAAATAGACAATTCAGTAATTTTAATATTGGCATCTCTTTACTCATAGACATGTGAAACGCGAAATCCTTTTTTTTTTACGAATTACCCCCAGAATTACTCCTAAAACTGCGAATATAAAATTTGATTTGCAGGTTCGGGAGTAATTCTGGGTGTAATTCGTACAAAAAAGAGGAATTTCGCACTTCACAAGTTGAAAGTAAAGAGAGATCAATATTGACATTATTGAATTGTCCCTTTATTTAACACCAATTTGACGGAATAACAAATGGAGGACTAAATTGAGCGAAACACAAAAGTCTGGGACGATATTAGGTCACCAAAGTCGTTTAGGACGAAATTGAGAAAAACCACTATAGTCGAGGACGATTTTGGGTATTAACTCAATGTCTATTTTATAAGATGACTTTTGTTCACAACAATATTTATATTGTAGATCAAGGTGTACGTGACAAGATGGATCCTAGTATAAACTCATTTTTACTATACAGTAAGGTCTTGTTCATCCTTAATCAAAGGTTAATGGTCGAATTCTTGGCTTTGGGACAACAATATTTATATTGTGGACCAAGGTGTACATGACAAGATGGATCATAGTATAAGTTCATTTTTACTATACAACAAGGTCATGTCCATCCTTAACCAAAGGTCAATGGTCCAATTCTTGACTTTAGGTATAGTCGTATGGAGCATCTTTAAATCTCCATATTAACTATCCCACTCAAAAAAGGTACCTACAATCCAGCGAGGGGATTAGCCACTGTGTTTGACGGTAAAAACCTGAAATATACCCAAAAAAAAGGTCATTTTTATCTGCAATACACTAAAACTGAACATGCAGTCAAATATAATAGTCATACTAAAAATGAAGTTGTAATGCATTAAAAATAAACCAACAATATACTAAAAATTAATATGCATCAAGGTTAATGGTTGACATTGTAAAGTGGACCTAAGGTGCACGATATAATTTGCCGGTCCAGAATATAACGATTGCAATCGTTAAAACATGAGCCATGGTTCATCTTGCAAAGTGAGCTCAGATTTAAAATATAAAATGTGTATACTGAATATTTACAATTTACATACTTAATGTTCACAATTTACTTTTTACAAAATTGTGACATGGTTCCACAGAATCATTTGCCATAACGATTGTGATATTGGATCTCATGCTTTTGTTTCGAAATTTTGGACAATTTAGTGGGGAGTTGGATCATCTTCAATGTCCAAGAATTAAAAATCTCTGGCCCAATTCATAATTTAGCCGAAGCCCAAAAAAATTGAAAAATAAACAATAATTTAATTAAAGAATAAGAGAAGAAGAAACAAGCCACGTCATCACCATCATCTCTAAGATTTGGCGGTTGATATTCCCATTCCCTCCACGTCCACGAACTGCCGTGCCCTCGTAAAACCTCTTCTTCTCCCTCAACGGAATTATCACCGGAGAGAGATGAAAGCAGCTGTGGCCATGTCGGGAGGAAGCGGCGGAACCATCCTCTGTTCGCCGCCGCGTTTTGCGGTTTGTAACCGCGCGCATTTACTCTCTCTGAGTCGAAACCAATCTCTGTCCTCCACGCGCAAGTTCAGGTCGGCGGCTTCCATTGCTCGACGATCGCTTTTGGCGAATCCGCGCCGGCTTAAAATAGTCTGCGGAGCTGCTGATTCAACTCAGACTCAGCCTTCCTCCGTTACTTCTTCCGACAAGTCCGTCGTTAACGATGATGGATTTTCCCTTTCCAAGGTGCTTATTTTCGTATTTCGTTATTGAGTTCGTTTAAAACTTTACCATATTGTGTAACTGAATAGAAATTTCTGAGTTCATGATAACCTTTCCTTTTTTGGCAGTGTTCCAGAATAGGCAATCACAACTTTAATAGATACTCCGTAATTCTTTAGTAGAAAACTGTGGTGTAATGTGGATATTCTGGATGAGAAGACTTTATTATAGTATAATCTCAGAAAATCATTGATACTGTCTTAATGATTTACTAGGTTTTCCCGAGATATTTGATTTTACTTAATGATTGATCAATCTGTGGAATGACGTTGTATTTGATATCCTAATGCCTGCAGATTTCATTTGGTGTTGTTGGACTTGGTGTGGGGGTTTCACTTCTCTCGTAAGTACATTTTGCTGTTACTTTAGATGGTTCTATGTTCTTGTAGTTCTCAAATACCGGTGGAAACAACAACAAAGGGGATGGGGGAGGGAAAAGCAGGAGAATATTATTAAAATGCACTGTTTCCTTCAATTATTGTGCTGTAATCGTAAAAGGAAAACTTGATTTGCAAATGCAAAGACACGCAATCACTCAACACTTTTGTTGCCATTCGCTTTTCGTTTATCATGTTTCTTTGTCAAACTTAAAGTTAGGCTTGATGGTGACCAACGTGCCATTAGTTCATTTGTTAGTACCCTGGAAATAGCTTCTCTAAATATTGAGGTAATGTTGCATGCGTCTTCATTTCCAATTCTACTATACATAATGGGGGAGCATTGTTCACTGAATCCATTCTTCTTTCACAAAATTAAATAAGAAACTTGAGGCTCTAACCTTTGATTTATGGTTCTTTCTATTTCTAGGTATAAAAATGCTACAATTTATCATGACTTTTACCAATTTGGCTGTATACATTGTATAGGTATGGTTTTGGAGCATACTTTAATATCATTCCTGGATCTGAGTGGTCTGCATTGATGCTTACATATGGCTTTCCTCTTGCTATAATTGGCATGGCCCTCAAGGTGAATTAAGCTTTATCTTACAACTATTTATGGCATTAGCGCATCTAATTTCACAATATGTCTTTGTTAATGCTTGATTGACATGCATGAGAATCAGGATTTTACTGATTTATGGGACTCATCATTATTCTTTTCTTAGTTGATCTGGATTAGCAAGGAATAAAATTGCCTTATTCATCATTTTTAGCCACATTACTGTTTTGCAGTATGCAGAGCTTAAACCAGTACCATGTGTGACCTATTCAGATGCTCAAATGTTAAGGGAAAAGTGTGCTACTCCAATCCTTAAACAGGTAAATCCACAATGTCAACCATTTTTCTATAGAACATGCATTTAAAGGAAAAATCTTATATTTTAGGTCAAGAGTGATGTGACAAGGTTCCGTTATGGAGATGAGCAACATTTGGATGAGGCATTGAAACGTATTTTCCAATATGGCCAGGTATTCCAATTCTGTTTTCTGCAAAAGAAGTCTGACAATAAATTAGTAATTTATGAAATTCAATTGCAATTTAATAATTTGCTATTACTCCGGTATAATATACCACATATAATGTCTTTATATTACTCTAGTATGGAGGAAAGAAGTTTCTAGAAGGATTTATCTATAAACAACCAGTGCAATCTTAAGGCTTGTAACAGGCTAACAGCTATTGCACATAAAGGAACTTCAAAATATTGAGACACTATGGTATCAGGTCATAATATCAGGTCATAATGTCTAACTTTGGCAGAAAACCATTGACCATAGAACCTCTAAAATATATAACAAAGTAGTTCTACCAAAGTATAATGATGAATCTAGTGTGCCTAATTGTTTGTCTAACCTTTATTAGACAATGCTTTTTAACTGTTCTAACTCTTTCCCCTCTATAAACTAGGGTGGAGGAATTGCACGGAGGAGTGCTCCCATTTTGCAAATGATCCGCGAAGAGGTATGGTCCTTGAACTTGCTTAAGTTTTTAGACTGGTGATGTACTTCCTATTATGCTCTGAATTGTGCCTGTAATTTTAGGTTATATGAAAGATCTTCTAACTTACACTATTGCAATACATTACTAATTGTGGATTAGTCAAATTTTAATTTCTTAGAAAAGATTCTGTTCCTTTTTAAACATGAATGTCTCTCACTTTTCTTTATCACTTGTTCATGCTTCATAGTTGTAGATGGCTAGAGTATTCATGTTTCATTTGTTGTGGTTTTTCAAACAGTTGTGTTGCTTTGTGTTTTAGGTTACGGAAGATGGTAAATACTGTCTAGTGTTGGTGTTCGAGGCCAAAGCTTTGGAGCTCTCAGATTTTGAAAAAAGACGGGTGAGATTAAACCTCCCAAGTATAATCTTAGTAAAGTTCCTGATTGTTATAGATTTATTCCTTGAACAATCCCTCAGACTAGACATCCTTTGAATCAAGTAGTTTTTCTCAAATATTTATGGCTAATTATTAATCTCCTGTTTCATTTTGATTTGATAGGAAAAATTTGCTTCCTTCTTTGGTCCAGGAATTTCATCTGAAATTGGTAAGTTTTGAATGCTCAACTCTAGTTGGGTTAAACTTACAAAATGTTAACCTGATAATGAGTTTTCTTGGCATATTTGTCATCACATTCTTCATTTATGGGTGCAGTTAAGGGAGACAAAGACTACTTGTATGAAGTCCGACTAATTTCCAACACAACATTGTAAGTAGCATGAACATCCTCAACAATGGAAGAGCTCATGTAGTATAGTAAACTGTTGTTTAGCCATGTATAGCAAAAGGAAGCTTGTAAAAAATTTTCAACAGAGAATCAACGAAAAGGATTAATTTTAAGGCATTCATATAATCTGGGTCTGCCTTGATACAACAGATTTACAGACCTGCTTTTTACAAGGTTCACTGCCTACATTCAATTCAATGGCAAAAACATTGAATGTATATGTTTGCAAAAATGCTAATGAAGCTATGCTACATAAGTTCTACACTTGTGCTCCTTGAGGCTCTGTATCACAGCACTAATCTTGATGAATTACTACTGCTCAGCTTTCATTGCTCTGCAATGGAGGTTTCCCTGGAACCCTGATCCTTTTGTGCCTGAGTTCAAATGGATACAAAGAATGAGAGATAAGAGAATTAAGCAAATTTTTTTAAAAAAAAAAAAAGGGAAAAGTCAATTAGGCCCTTACACTTTTTAAAGGTGCAATTAAACCCATCAACAATTCATTTAAGTGCAATGGAGCCCAAAAACAAATTAATGACCTGCTATCACAGGTCATTAGGGTTCAGGCCACCTTTCGGTGAATTTTCCGGCAAAAAAAAAAAAAGCGACCGGCGAAATTTTTGACAAAAGAAGTGATTGCCGAAATTTTCGACAGGCAAATCTGGGTCGGTTGCTAGTCACTTTTTTTTTGTTAGAAAATTCGTCGGAAGGTGGCCAGAACCCTAATAACCTGTGATAGCAGGTCATTAAATTGTTTTTGGGCTTTATTGCACCTAAAAGAATTGTTGATGGGTGTAATTGAACCTTTAAAAAGTTTAAGGGCCTAATTGACTTTTAAGCTAAAGTTCGATGGCCTATTTGACCCTTTTTCCAAAAAAAAAAAAGAGAGAGAGAATTAAGCAAAGCAAAATGCACAGAAATATTTACCTCAAAGAGTCAATCCGCTTCTCAACTATTTCTTTCTGTTCCACATCAAAAGTAGACCATTTTTCATGTGATGCATCATCCCCAGTTCCAACCTCTGCATTGGATGAATGGAGAAAGCATGGGTTAATATGTCACTGCATCCATTTACCAAAAACAAAGCACACTTAGAACTGAACTGACCTTGAAGTAGTATTTCAGATTTCTCAGAGTAGCTTTTCAATCTCCACAGCACCTGACCATTGGTGTCCACATAGATGGGCTCTGTTCTAACAGCATCAGCGTTTTGATTACCTATGGAGCAAAAACAAAAGTCCTCAGCAACATATGGCCATGTCTAAGGCAGACCATTCAAAATAGTAACTTTCGACATACATTTTAACCATAAGCCTTTGGACTCCAGCAATGCAGCATGAGCTTCTGCTGTCTCAAGCTTAACTTTAGCAACAATGGCATCATGCTCCGATACTGTAATGGGAGCACCATTCTTTGAAATGACTGCTTCAGCAATGTTATCCTGTAGTTTCTGCTTCAAACGCTTTTCCTAAACAAATTACAAAAAATTAATTTTTCAAGATAGTAGCTTTAGCTTTCTCAATTGTTTCAGTTTTGTTTTGATAGTTCATACCTCCTCTTTCGCAGCTGAAACTTTTACTTTTGCTTCCTTGGCCTTTTCAGCATATCTTGCATTCTCATCATCTATCCAATTCCTTATCTTTCTGTAAATGCAGCCCTTGACAAGTTTATCAAATGGTGAAAAAGGAAATAAATTGCTGCAATAAAAATGGGAGACTTACGCAGTTAGAAGAACTTCATCACAGACAAAGTTCAATAGCTTCAGTTTTATTGAGGGGCTTAAGCTATCAAATCCATCAGCTGCATCATTTAAGGAATCCAAGCCCATATTCTTTGCAACAGTTAGGGATTCAGAAACGACCTCTTTAAGAAAATTGAACCATGCATCTGTTCCATCTGTACAAGTTAATGTTGAAGACCTGGAATAGATCACAAAAAGATGTTCAAATAACTATTTAAAGGGAACAAATAGTGAAAGTTGCAGTGCTTAGTCTTTTATAGTATGTGGATATACCCTTCCCCCATATCCTCTTCAATGACCGTTAGCATGTTAACAAGAAACTGGGCAGTCACAGTAGTTTTTCCTCGCCTTGTAGCTCGACCTTGTACCAAATCTCTAAGTACAGCTTCACCCTGCCCTTTCTTTAAATCAAGAACCTATTGAATATAAGTATACAGTCAGAACTCAGAATATCACTGGCAACAATGATTGAAGGGATGAGCACTTTTGTTCTTAGGAAACTAGAAAGTTAGGGTTCAATGAAACAAGAACAAAAATATCATGTTTAGCAGTTTTACCTTTCCAAATGCAGCACAAAACTCTAAAAATTGCAAGGCATCCCCAATATCTTCTTGAGGTAAATCAGTACCAGCTACAGCTGTAAGTCGAATTCCCTCAGGCAGGGGAATAACAGGATTTAAATTTTCATTTTTGATATCAAGATCAGTGGCATCCCCAATATCTTTACCAGTGGCTTCATCAGGCATCTTGCTTGACACTTGTTTCTTCATGTCCTCTGATTTCCTTTTTCTTTTACATTCACCATGTATTTCATTCTTCTTGGAACCCTCTTCCTTGGGATTTTTTGCCTTTGGTAAGCCCTCTTCCTTCATTTTATTAATTTTTTTCTTTTTTGGGGAAGTATCAATAGCTGTTGATGAAACACCATCATTTCCACTAATGCAGTGTCCCTTCTGAGTCTTCTCATACTCTTGTCTTTTCATTTTTCTAGATTCCTGTTTAGGAGGAATATTTGATGAAATAAGTGGTTGAGTATTTGAATCTATACTCCCATTAAATATGTTTTCCTTCCCCCTCTTGGTTGGGGAAACAACTTCTGCCCCCTATCAAAATTTAAACTTAGGGTATGAGAACTATCAGACTGCCAAATAATTCTATAAAATTGAATCATCAAGCCATCAAGGTGACTAGGCCAAAAATGGCCATGAGAAGTCATTACATCCCTACCTTGTCTGAAGCGTCGGTCTCTTTAGTTGGAGCATCCTTCTTGGTTTCTTTAGTTGGAGCATCCTTCTTGGTCTCTTTAGTTGGAGCATCCTTCTTATTGAGAGCTTTTTCATGATCAATGTTCTCTGGTCCTTTAACCAGTAGCATTTCTGACACAGAAGTAAATCCAGTCGCCTTGGCTGTGTGCACAAGAATACCAGTAGGCTGGAAACCTCGCTTTTTCCTGAGCATTACATTGATTGATGAGTACACTACTGGCAACCAGCAATGCCTTTACAAAGAAATCAGAGAAGAAAATACTACAAACAAAAGGGGGCAAGAGAATGTTTACATGCACAAACTACAGTTGCAAATGCCTCTGCATTTTGGACAGTTCCAGTTCTCGAGAGTTGAAACTTCTTCTGCCTTCTCCCCATATCTGGTGTGGAAACACACTAGAGAAACTTAGTATCTCTCCAAGAACAAAAGTAACTAATAACTAATATAACAGGGAAATGAAAGGGGCTGGCACAGGCAACTAAGGTAACTCAGTTGGTTCTTGAATGATAAATTGTGAGCAATAGGGAAATGAAAGGAGAAGGCACGTACCTATTCAAGAGGCATTTGTGGCAAAATCGAATGACACACGGCTTATTATTCTTTTCATTCTTGCATCCTGACATATAGTCCATGGTTTTTTGACGGCACTTCAAAATATCAAATCCAAATATTAGATGTATACCAAATTGAAATTTTGATATATTACAAATTGAAAAACCAAGACATCTGCAAAGACAGAAACCTGTATGGATGGCATGATCAAGTCCTAAGGAAAGATAATAAATTCTAATCTACATAAGAAAAGGAAAAAAATAATAACTTCCAAACTATATTATTATACTATGAGCTTAATTTACACCCCTAAAATTGATATCTCCATATATAAGCATGAACTTCTCTAAGAGCCACACCGATACTATCCCAAATCTGAAAATAGACATTTAACCAGGCCATGGCTACTCTACCACTTGTAGGTTGGTTCAGATTGGATGCTCAAAAGGTTGCTTAACAACATTAACGAGTTTCACAGCCAAACTTCTGTACACTTCTCAGAGATGCAAGCACATTGTTAGCTAATTTCCATCCAAGTTGACAAACTTAACAATGCAAATGACATCATGGGCAACAAAAGTAATAAACACCAGACCTAGTACCATTATGATAAGATACTCAAAATAGGCTAGTTATCACCTTTGATTCAGAACTGAAGTAAAGAACTCAATTACAAACCCCAAGCAGCAAAAGAAGGTAATTCACCTTATGCCATTGAGTTTGATAACAAGTAGACTTGTTTAATCCAGTACAAACCCTCAGGTAGTGGCTAGGTTAGGTTTAATCCAAGTACACATACTCGGACAAGTAGACAGGTTTAATCTAATCCAAATCATTATGAACCCTAACTAAGAATAACCCATTTCGGAATGTTTATTTATCAATCAACAAATCAAACAACACTGCACCAATTCACAACTTTTCCCCTTTACCCATTCCACTGTCAGACGATTTACCTTCTCGAACAAACAACCGCGACACAACACTTGGAAATTCCACATTTCACGACACATCAAAACACAAACACAAAAAAAACGCAGCTGTAAATCATACGAGGGTTAAGTCATCTGGGAAAGCGTTGTTACCTGGTGGCACGTCTTGCCATTTCTGGAATCATAGATCCGGCCGCCCACAACCCGCACGCCTGGGCAATTATTCCGCTGTTTCGTCTTGGTTCCCTGGTTGCCCTGCGCCTGCTCCGCCACGGAATCGCCTGAAACAACCGCCATTGATGTCGCCAACAGCAAGCAAGCAAGCAAGCAAAGCCTACTACGATCTCAGTCTCACTGTGCTGCACTGTAAAGGAAGTAGAAATGCAAGAGAGTATATATACGTTTGACCCCCGAATTTGCGGACTGCATTTTCGGATTCATGTTACAAAGCGGGAATTTCATTTTGGGAATTTTTTAAAGTCCGAACCCGAAAATGCCTTTGGAGGGATTTTTCATTTCTTTCCTCTAATTTACCCGCCATTTTTGGCAAGCTACACAAGATTTTACCTTGTTTATATTATTCTTTAATTTGAATTTTGAACACCATATGTCCATATTAGATTACTAGTGGACCGTTGTGAGAAGTATTTTCCATATTAAGCTATTGAAAAAAAAACATAATATTCATAATGAAAAGTATTATTATATTGTAATATGTACATTGAATGTTATATTAAATTAATGTTTTACTAATTTAAGTTGGAATATTAGATATGCTTATTTGGTAAAAAAACGAATAAATTGTCTTTTATGGAAATAACTTATTAATTTTATGTGTATTATTCCATATACAATTAATCATGATTAAATATTGCAAACAGTTTAAAGATATTAATCATCTTGTGTAGTGTTTCTCATGTCTCTCTTTATTTTACTAATTTAAGTTGGAATATTAGATACATTTTTTATAATTTGTTAGATATGTTTATTTGGTAAACAAAAACGAATAAATTGTCTTTTATGGGAATATAACTTACTAATCATATGTGTATTATCCCATATACAATTAATCATGATTGAATATTGCAAACAATTCAAAGATATTAATCATCTCGTGTAGTGTTTCTCATGTGTCTCTTTGTTTTTCCAAAACATTTATATTTATTGTCTCATATTTTCAATATCTTGATGGCACTATATATGTCGTGCTTGTATTGAGATTCACACGTAATACACAACACATCAATTTTTCTCTTCTTCTTGTTTGTTTGTATTCTACATGATATTAGTTGATAAGGTTTATACATGCGCATAAACTCATCAATCGGCGGCGATGAGCAGCCGCGGGTGACGATGAGGCGTGTTTAGAGTTCTCCGCCTAGCCGCGTCCAAGGCAAAGAGGCACCCAGTCGGGCACGTTTAGAGTTCTTTTTATTTATTTTTTTCTTTTATGTTTTGCTTGACATTTTGTTTTTGTTTTGGCTTTTTTTTTTTTTTTTTTTTACTCCTCTCCCATTTTCTTTTTTCCTAATCACACCTACAAAAGCTCATCAAAAATCACACAAAAAAAACCCCACTATTGAGAATGTCTGTATGATGATCAATTGAATGGTAAGTTTGATATTGGGGCCTCTCATCACATTACTGGTGCAATGGGACATCTCGTCACATTACTGGTGATTACACTAAGATGACTAATGCAAAAGATATGGAGTATTTTACTGCCCTAAACAGTGGTTACAACTCAAGAAGGCTCGGCTCGATTAACGGACAAAAGTATTCTTAATCATGTCCTTTATTTCCGTCTTTAAGTTGCAATCCTATAATGTTATGCAGTACAATGTCCACTTTTAACTCCTATATATGTACTATACCGACCAATCGCTATCGCTAAATGTGAGCAGTCTAAAAATATGTTTGTGCTCACATATTTTGGCCACTTAATACCCTAAGTCCTTAACATCTTGATTTTCTCTATTAATATAATTCTTCTTTATCTTCTTCCTCTCTTTTCTTATGTCGTGCATCTCTCTTACAACACGTTTGGTTCACGGAGTGAATTTTGAGGTAATAAGAATGCTATTCCATAAGGAATGAAATAGGCAAGGAATTAGGAATGCTATTCCATAAGGAATAGAATATGCCGGGAATATAATAAAAATTGCATTATATTGTTTGGTCCGCGAAAAGAATAGACTTTAGGATTACATGTTGGGTTGATTTAAGGAATAGAAATGGAATATGTTTTAAAAGACATAAATACCATTATAAAAATATGTGATGGTGGCGTTGGTGGTGGCGACGGTGGTGGTGGTGGCGACCGTGGGGGTAGTGGTGACGACGATGGCGATGGTAGCGGTGGCGGTGGTGATGGTGGTAAAATAAGAAATAAATTTAATTGGAAGGTAAAATAAGAAATAGAAACTTTAGGCTATTCCCGAGAACTCAAGAATACCCTAATACTAAGCCCCCCTTCCCCCGCAAGAATCTCTATTCCCTTGCAAAGGGGAATAGATCATTCCAGGTTCCTGGGAATACAAGTAGTTACCAAACAGAGGAATATGCCCATTACTGAGAATGTTATGTCATTCCAGACATATTCCGTGAACTAAACAGCCCATTATTGCTTCAGTGTTACTCTCTCTCTATTTCCTCTATATTTTTATGAGTTTAAGTTATCAAGTAATAATAAGTTGATTTCAAAGGAGTCATTAAAGTGAATAGATTGGAGTCTCATTTCTTTTATTATTTTCTTTTTCGTTGGAGGATATATATAATGACCAAAGTATTAGGTGCCCCAAAAATCAATACCAAAGCCCAATACCTGAAGCCCATTATATAGCTTGTTCAGAAAACCCGACTTAAGGGCTCTTTCGACTCATCAGCAATTGTTATGTCGTGGAACCGTGTCCATCTTACAAGGCGAACACGATTCTATGTTCATAATTATAAAACTTAAAACTCTCCATGTTCACAATTAGAGAACTCTATGTTCACAATTATGACAGATTTGAAATTGTGTCTACCTTGCACGATTCCACAACATAATTTGCCTCTCATCTGGAGTCGGGATCAAGAAACCAAAATAACACCTAAAACCCGAGGGCCCCTCATCAATTTGTCTTGGGTTGGACGGGAGGAGATAAACCTCAAAATGTATTTTCGTTTTTAATGTTTTATTATTTGTTATTTTTATATTCCTAGGGTCTCACTATCCTCAATCTATTGGAAATTTGAACACGAATATTTGATGGGACATTATTCCTACACTCAACATTTCAACCTCTAAACTAGGGGTGTAAACGAGCCGAGCCGAGCTCGAACCTGGGTAGGCTCAAGCTCGAGCTCGTTAATGAAGGCTCGGCTCGAGTTCGAGCTCGAGCTCGGTCGAGCTTGAGATATGATGCTCGAGCTCGAGCTCGAGCTCGGTAACTTTCGGGCTGCTCAAGCTCGGCTCGAGCAGCTCGATTGTTCGAGTTCGAACTCGAGCTCGATCTTGAACTCGAGTTCGAGCTCGATTTTGACATTGAATTTGACCTATTTAATACTTTTGATTTAAAATTCAAACTACTTTGTTTTGTCCATACATAAATAATAGAAATCTTTTAGGGATTTTAAGTTTAAAATTTTAATTTTTAATTGTTATTTTTATATATTATTATATTATATTATATTATGTATTATATATATTATATATTATATATTATATGGCTCGCGAGCGGCTCGACGAGCCACGAGCCTAGAATATATAGGCTCGGCTCGAGCTCGATTACTAAACGAGCAGCTCGAGCTCGACTCGAGCTCGATTTTGACCGAGCTCGAGCCGAGCGTTGACCGAGCCGCTCGCAAGCTGCTCGTGAGCTGCTCGGCTCATTTACACCCCTACTCTAAACTATGTCCAATAGCTTATTAGTTGTATATAACCTTTCTTTGATCTTGTTATATATTTAATTACCTCCGATGATACAGAGAAATATAGGCTACACATATCGCAAATTACACATGAAAAAAAATTGTGGTAAAAAGATCCAGGCTAGTGATCTATCTTTGACAATATAATTGTACGCACTGTCAAATTAAGTTTCACTTATGTAATTCTGGGCAGTCTAGAAATATGACTGTATTGCCTTTTTTCACATGGGAATCATGTTAGACAGAAACATAATAAAACAAAGCATGTAAACAAAAATAATCTAACCTTATAGGGAAAACAATCATAATTGAGCATATCTTCGGCCATAATTGATGTTCTATAGTTATTGTAGTAACCTGAGCTGTGGTAGAGAGTTTATGTTTTGTCTCACAGTTTTACTCATGTGTATATATATATTACTATAAACTAGTAGTGAAAAGTCTGGTAAACTTATATATAACATAAGTGCCATTGTAGGTATTTAATTATAAATCAAATACCTCAGAAACCTAACTTGAACAAACTCCTACTTTATAGTCCAGTCAAACTTGCACACTTTCACTAGATAAACTTAATTTAACAAAAAATAAGTTATGTTTTACTGCATCTATATGGAAGACTTAATTTATTTCATGATAATTGTTACTGACTCATCTATGAAAATTGTATTTTTCATCCCTAAGTTATAAGATAATTGTAGTATTTGTCTTTACTTGTTGGTTGTGCTCACTTCTTGTCTCTAAATTATAACTGACGTTACGAATTTTGTTTTATTTTTTCCCCTAACAAGTGCTCATTTATTGCCCCTAAGCTATAACTGTCGTTGTTACAAATTTCTCCCTTAATGTTCTGTTAAAAGAAGACGAAAATTGCCATGCTAGTTAGTTATAGCTTAGGGACGAAAAATGAGCATGACCAACAAGTATAGACGAATCATACAATTACCTTATACATAGGGACGAAAAGTGTAATTTTTTAAAAATTAAAAATACTCATTTTAATTATATTGAAATTAATCATTTAATCATTTTTATTTTATATTTATTAACTTTCATATTTAAAAAGTATATTAATTTTCGTGATGGAAATTAATTTAATTACTCCGTAGTATACATGTGTGTATATGATACAGAAAATGTTACAAATAATTCAAGTTAAGCTACACAAAACGTGATCATATATATAAAATTCTCACCCTAGCTTGTTTACATGTGTTTCTAATGGTGATTGTAATTATATTGCAACCCAGCAGTGGCCTGTGGATCTTCTTCTTGTGGTCAAAATCTGTGCTCCTTTAGACTCTAGGAATTAAGGAAGTATTAGTATATATAGGTAATAGCGGCTGAATTGATGAAGTATGCATTATCATTTTTGGGATAGAAAGAAACGCAAAATCACTATATGGTGTATGTATACATGATAATAAATCTTACATTGTGATTCTAGTTAGTTGTTAAAGGACTACAATATAAGTCTCTATTAAAAAAAAATTATTATTCAGCTTTCTGCGACACCCTTTACAGGTGTCTTGGAAAGCTAAACACTTTCAGTCACTGGAATCCGAGGCACTTGTACAGGTGACTCGGAAAGTGTTTTATAGGTGACT